CTGCAGGAGAGGGGATATGATGCCACCCAGCACAGGACAACTTATTTATTAGCTTTTACTTTCTTTGAAGACCTCCAGGCGGCTTACATCATTCTCCTCCTCCTGCTCTCAATCTTCTCCCCACAACAAAACCCCTGTGAGGCAGGCTGGGCTGAGAGTCTATGCCTTCCTCTCCATGTTCAGAAGCTTGAAGGATTTCCCACAGGATTGTGCCCTAAATGGTTAAAATATTTTTATACTGCATTTCAGCCACTATGCCTTCAAGGTGGTATACAAAACAAAATTTAAACATCATTTAAGAACTGAGTCATTTACTTATTATTGACATTTGGATACCACATCTGCTAAAAGGTTGTATGGCAGAGTACAGCTTAAAACAGAAAAAATGTGCATTAAAATTTCACATTCTGATGGGACTAAAAACAAATAACCTTTTCTAAAGGCAAAGAGAGCAGGGACCAACTATAGTTCTCGAGGGAACATATTTCATAGTTTGGGAGGAAACACAAGGGAAACGCCTTTTCATGCATGTTCAACAAATGGGCCTTTCTGCACAGTGGTATCCTCAAGAGGGTCCTTCCTGCAATCTTAATTCTTGGGCAGATTCATACAGAGACAGGCAATCCTTGCCTACTTCAGGCTCTGAAGGTTTTTTTTTTTTTTTAACACCCTGAATTGCACCTAGAAAGTAACTGGAACCAAGTGCAAGTCTGTAAGGACAGATGTGATATGGTCCTAATATTGTGTACCAGAATGACCCTGGTGACCATATTCTCACCCCCTGAACAGACCAGGTAGTCTCCCATTTACTCTGCTTTCATATCCCACCCACACCTCTGATGGGGTGGCATACAAATGTGATAGATGGAGGGAGGGATGTACCTTTCTTGTAAACTATAATTCATTGCTTTAGAAGAAGCTATGGTTGGAAGTTGGCTTCATATCCTGACTTGTTTCAAAGCTATTAACCATAGCTTGACTTGAATGTAAAACCATAGTTAATGGAAAACTTTTTGGTTTGTTCACTTACCCATGTATAAGATTCATCTGAGATTTTCATTCTCATTTGCACAGTTTAGAGAGATCCTTTGGTATACTTGGGAGCTTCACTATCCCAAATCATTTGATGTTATCTGCAAACGCTCTCCCCACTGTTCATTCCTGATTCAACTTCATTTTCTGATAACTTAAAAAGTACAGGTGCCATCAAAATGTTTAAGGAACTGTAAATATTTTTTTCATCTGCTTCTTTCTTTTTAACCAGTTAAGAGGCCATAAGAGGCTCTGTGTTCCATGAGGGGCTAAAGGAGCATTCAGTAATGGACCTTCCCAGAAGCTTTTTAGATATCGAAGTACCTATCTACATGAAATGCTACTGCGGAAAATTGAAGCAACTCAGGGAAAAGACTTAAAAACAGCCATGTGATCATCAGAAGTGGGATCCTAAAATACATAGTAAAATTTGCCTACTGACTGAGTGCACACATCCAGAAAGGTGCTCAGCTAACACCTGCTAAATGTGTTCAGACAGCAAGGCCCATGCCATTGTTTTGGTTGTGATTAACTGCCACAGAGCTCCTCCCTTCCAAGAATGTCTCCAAGAGCAGGCAATCCAGTCAATCATTATACGTCTCTGATTTTTTAAATTGAGAAACTTTGGGCAAAGTGTGAATCTTTGTCACTATGGAAAAAATGAAATGTCCCCTTGAAGCTTGGTTGGACAAAATTACTACAAGCAATTCTATCAGCTGAAATCAGGGAGAAATTCGTTTAAAGCGAGAGGGAATTGTTCTGCAATAACTGAAGTGAGATGTTGGCAAATGGGTGGTAGGTTTTATCTCAAAGGGATGCACAATCACCCAGTGATAAGAGCACATGCTTTGCGTATAGGAGGTTACAGCAGCCTTCCCCAACCTGGGACTCCAAAAATAGTTTGGCCTCTAGTACCCATCAGCCCCAGCAGGCAGTCAGTGCTCTGGAATCCTGGGTTATTACCCTCATCAGGCTGTGTTGGAGGTTCTACCACTAGTTATTTCTAGTTAAAAAGACCAGACAGTAGATGACAGGAAACCTCTGTACCTGAGACAATGGAAAGACACTTCAGTGGACAATAGTGAGCTAGACAGACAGACAGCCTGTGCTGGTATGCGTCAGTCTTCAGTGCACCCTAAGACAAATGTACCCTCACAATTTCATCACTACAATGATCCTGTGAGGTAGGTTAGGTTAAAAGATAGGGACTGGCTCCCATGGTCACAAATGAGCTTCAGGGCTGAGTGAAGATTTGAAGCTGGGCCTTCCCAGCCTTCGTCCAACACTCTGACCACTAATGCCACACTAGTTATTTGGTGTCATCCAATTACCTCTCCAAGTGGATTCTGAATGTAATTTTCCTTGGCAGAAAGGCAGGGTGCAAATAAAACAAAACATAAACGTTTTCATTTTTCTCATCTACGTTTTATGACAGATCTCATTTAGTCATACTGGTCCTTTGTGGGTCTAAATAAAAGATAGTTGCTCTGTCTTTGATAATTGCTGACAAGCCCTAATAACCAACAACAATCAGTTTATTTTCCTTTTCCTTCCTTCGGCCTTTCTTCCAGTTGTACTGTATCTATTTAACTGTAAACTATTCTGACAAGGACTTGTCTACATGTGTTGTTTTGCAGGATTTTAAGGTGATAATATATTCTATTATTCCACTCTACAATAGAGCCTCCAGAAATGAGAGAAGACTCCAATGCATGCAAGAAATCTGTCAAAGACAGCAGTAAAGGTAAAGGTTCCCCCTGCACATGTGCTTGCCATGACCGACTCGAGGGGTGGTTCTCATCTCCGTTTCTAAGCCAAAGAGCCAGCGTCGTCCGAAGATGCTTCCGTGGTCATGTGACCGGCATGACTAGACACTTTCGTGCACAGAGCATTGTTGCTTCCCACCAACGCGGAACCTATTTATCTACTTGCGTTTGCATGCTTTCGGATGGCTAGGCTGACAGAAGCTGGGGCAAGTAACAGGAGATCAATCTGTTACATGGCACTAGGGATTCTGGTTGACAAGCTCAGTGTCTTACTCACTGAGCCGCCGCACCCCTATCTTTCAAAGATACCAGTGTTATCATCCTACATACACCACTGGCAAACTCATTTTTGGAGTCTAACTTCCTCTGTAGTCAAATGGCACCACCTAGGCACAAGACATACTGGAGGTATCAACTGTATGAGGCTTGGGGGATCCTCAAGATTCCAGGATGTCCCTTGGGAAATAAGGCAAGATGCAATCCAGTGAGAACGGAGCATGCTAACAGAATGCAACCGCACTTCGGGATGTGGGAGGAGAGAACCAGGGGAGCACAATAATGGAAGGGAGTATTTTAGCAAGGGGTACAACTGGCTGGGAAAGGAGCACTCCACACTGACATTTGTTGAAGATGTTGCTCGTTTTCCTTACAGCCAAGAAGGTTTTCTAATATGACAATGAAGGATTCAAGGACATTACAGATACCCAATGATGGGTGTGGAGGGGGGACCACAAATGGAAACTCTCCTGGGCAGGGAAGAGCCAAGAGACAGCTAAAGGGCTTCACTCTTCGTATGCAGGGATGGGGAATGTCAGGCCCAAGAGGACAAAAGCTGGTTCTCCCAAATTTCTGAGAAAAAACATGCCTTTTCCCGGTCCCACCTACTTTCCCATTGTTCATTTGTTGATTTCCCTGGTTTTTGTGAACCCCCCGCCCCCACCATTCCAAAAAAGGCAAAATTCTTTTGGTAAGGATGAGGTACAAGCAGTAAGAGGATAAGGCTATAATATGCCCTTTTTGTATCTGTGTTTGTGTAGTTTGGACTGTTGCCCCCCTTGTTGGTGGAATGTGGTTCCCAAGAACGTCTCAGAAACTGAATTTAGCCCTCTCACTGAAAGTAGCACCCCACTCCTGCCATACGTGATTGCAGAATTCTTCTCAGTGCCTCTTGTGCCCACATGACCCTAGCTCAGTTTGAAACAATCAACATCCAAACCCTTCTGGGACATTTCAGAGTCAACGTCATTCCCATTTTCACCCAGATTATCGGTGGGGAGAGCAAAGCAACCCTCATGTGACCACCCACAGGCCCCAACCCTCCCAACTGTCTCAGGAAAGCAATTTAGAGACTTTCACCCAAGAAACCCTAACCGTGGCACCCTGAGGCATTAGTGTCAATGGTTAAGTAGGTGCTCCACAGAGGAAGGATAAATGCTGTCAGTTTGAACAAAGGCGAACGCTTACAGAGCTGTCATACCAGCATTCACAGACACTTGCTTCAAAGGCAGGCAAATACAGGTTAATTTAAGCACAGCCAGTGTGACTCACTACACTGTTTGCATTGCACAAAGGTATCCTGTTGTAGAAAAGATAAGCTGCAGCCACCTGGGAAAGAACTCCTAGCATTTTGGGATAGGACATTCAGGTTCCCCAGAACATTCAAGTGTGTGTGTGTGTGTGTGTGTGTGTGTTTTAAAATGCATTTGAAAGTAAATGTCTGCAGCCCAAACTAATTCATGGCTGGGCGCTGAGCATTTCAGCTTCCTCCAGTAAGCCTTCCTTTGCAAATGGTTATATTCAGCAATGCGAACCACTCCCCCTCCTCCATCTGCTCAAAAAAGATGAACAAACAAGCCATTGCTGAAAGAAGGAAGGAAACATGTTCAGCCATCTCCTAGGAAAACCATGCCAGAGTGAGAAGAGCCCCTCCTCCTGCCACACACAAAATGGGGGGGGGGTTCAGAAAGGAGTGGGGACACACAGATCCTAGATACCAAAATAATCCACTCACTCTGAGACTCCCCCTCACTCACAGAAAGAGAGTGGTGGTCAAAGACAGAAGCAATTTCAGCTCACTCATGTTTTTCCCTCCCACACACACAAACAACATATTAAAAACTAGGACCGGTTAATGTGCTGGCTTGAGTCATCAGCCATATGATCAAAGACTGAATCTAAAAAAGGGGGAATTGGTTTACTCACTGTCTTGGGTACAATCTGTTTCTTTGGCTGCCCAATCTTGAACGGAATCCTGGATTTGGGGGGTGGGGGGAGGGAGGAAAGAAGCAGAGATCAGAACTTATGTAAACATGCAAGCATGTCAAGTCAAACAACATCTTCCCTCCGCTTTCACTTTTTTTCCCCGGGGAGAAAAAGGACTGCTGCTAGTGCCAGAGTTTGGGAGATAAAAGCACAACTCCCCATTCCCCATGCATGTCAGATCTATCTTTTCTAGCCATTCCTGAGCAACCCCCACCCCATCCCACCTTGGAGAAGCAACCCCAGTAGATAAGAGTGCCCTACTGACACCACTTCCAATGCTGCAGGCCCAAGGCAATTTTGGCAGAACAAATTTCTGAACAATTTAAGCTGAAAGGCAAATTGCAAGAGCAAGGAAATAAAACCACTGCAAATGTTTTGATACAGACTCAGGAAAGAAGGTGCATGGGGGGGGGGGCAGGCGGGGCGGGACACCTGCATGTCCTAAGCTGTGAACAGCTTCAAGATCTTTTGCTAGAGAGTTGGCTCATCTTATCAGCCTTCCTTCTTGCAACAAATCTTATAAACTAGGGTGGCCTCATTTCATCTTCTCAGTAGTGCTATCAGCAGGGTGAAGGCAGAGCTCTATATTAAGGCGGTGGGGGGGGGGGACTGGCAGCCTTCTAGAAGCTGCTGAAATGCCTTTCCCATGATCCCTCCCACTGGCAGTGCTGGCTAGGAGTGATGGAGTTCAACAACATCCAGAGGTCAATGCGTCCCTCCACCCTGCCCTACACTGATACCCAGAGCGCATCTTAAAGCTCAGCTGTCTCCTGCAGACACCACAGCTTCGTGCAGGGCGGTTAACTTGTGGCCTTCGACACATGCGAGTCTGCAATTTCCATGATCACTCATGACTGGTTATAACGGCTGGGGCCGATGCGAGCTGTAGGCCGAACCATCGAGGCCACAAGCTTCCTATCCCTCCCGTAGTGGGCGAGCGGTACACTGACAGGCTGGCTTGTCGTCATGACAGATGCCCACGAGACGTTTTAAAGGGGAATGCATTTATTAAGCGCATATCCCACATTCCCGCCAAGGAGCTCAAGGTGCACACAAGGTCCTCTCTGCCTGATGTTAGTGGTGACAACCTGCAACCTGTAATTCTCTTCTGCTGCACCACTGTAGGTTTATTATAAATGGATCAAACCAGGTGATGGCCCTCTGCTAGCACCCCACTGCCATGAGTCATGCCACAAATGTTCAGAAAGATTCCAACTCCTCTGGGAAAGGGCGAAAGAATTCTGATGTTAGTGCAGGTGCCCTCAGTGAGTGAAACAGAAAGCCAACTGGAATCTCCGATGTCGTCATCACTTGATCTAACTAGCCCAACAGTGCCTACTCCAGCTGGCTGAAACACTTAGTGATTTAGGTAGGGGCGTCGTCCTGCTCTGTGATGGGAGGACCTTGCAAATGGTGATCTGACCCCAGATTCATCTGCATGCGAACCATCTGTGCTCCCACTGAACAGGGAGGAAAGCCTCCTATTTGCCTAGGGACAGGCAGGCAGCGATGAGGTAGGAGACTGAGCAAGGCTGAAAGCTACATGCCTAAAAAGCGGCAAAGCAGGTGTTCATAGAGTAACCCATACACGGCTTAGCTGAAGATCCCTGCAGAAGAAATTTGTAGGCCAAGGCACCTGGAACAGCACGACCGTCACCAGCCACTGCTATTCGCTGTGCTGGCCAGGGCTGGCAGATAGCTGGCTCAAACATCTGAAAGGCTAGAAGTTGCCCACCCGTTATCGAAATCTATACTCCTAATTTAAGTGCTAGACAGAAATGAAAAATGGCCAAATACGTTTCCAGGAAGGCACCTGTGTCTTTAGCTAGCTGCGTGGGAGAGACAACTGTAGCAAAACAAAAACAAGAAACAAAATCAAACAGCCTCTCCCAGAGCTTATATATTTAGGCCACTTTCTCCAACAATCCTCTGAACAGTTAACAAAAGTGTAAACTGCTCTATAGCACAATGGCAGAAGCAGCTATGGCTCTCTAAAAACATGTGTGCACCTTTAGGAGAGCTGTCCCCAAGGAATTCTGGACAAGGCATTGGAGGCCTTTGTCACAAAACCATATCCCATGCCAAGAATACATAAATGCTCTGTCATACACTCCCACTCCAAATCAAAAATGCTCCCTTTATCTCCATCAGCTGCAGCCTGGTTGTTCCAGGCAAATGCATTACACACAACACCACCCTCAGAATAAGCCTATGCATAAGTTCCACCAAGTCTAAGGTGGCTTATTCCCAGGCAGGGGTACAGGATGGCACAGGCTGCAACCCCAACAACTGGAAGGAGCAAGCCCCAGAAGATGGAGGGAGGCCAGTCTCACACGCAAGGGAGGTTTTCCACCCCTGCATTTTGGAAAGCAGGAAGTGGGATAGTCCAGGGTATTCGTTTACTCCTGTTCACATCCTCTTCTTCCTGCAAAGGCCTTCAAGTAGTGTTGTAACCTCCCGACAGCCCCGTAATGCAGATACAAGTAAAACTGACATGTGCAAGGATGAGCGTCATGGTCAAGTAGAACAGTGCCCCTGAAACTACTCTTTCAGTTGTAGGCGCCATCCCAGAAATACCACACCACAGGAGACAGCACTCCACACTGACCACTATATAATCTGAGCCGGAGGGAGGGGGAAATGAAGCGAGAGAGACAGTGAACCCCTTGGGTCCCTTTCTGCTTCCCTCTCAGCCAAGTTGCTGCCATTGTTTGCTAACCAAGCGTATAATTTTGCCACCAATAATAAACCCAGCCTGCAAACCATACCCTTCTGAACCAAGCACGGAGCTCAAACTAGCCTTAGTCACAAATGTATAAATTTAATTTCTGGAGTGTTTCCTGTTTATTGTTCTGCAACAAGGCTGATGTAATTTTAGTCTATTAACCCTTTCTAGCTTTGCTGGCACCCTCAACAGCAATGAATCACACATCTTCTATAAACAAGCAATTGTCTGGCATATAATTACACTGTCAATAGCAACTGGGGTGCCTTGAAAGAAAAACAAAAGATGCTAAGCTTTTTTTCCTTTCTGCACTTTTTGCTACATGGGCAAAAACATGAGATCGAGGTAGCTCTACTCTTATTCTTACAGATACCTGCCAGTTAACTAAACATTACGAAAACTGGCTGCTCAGTGGAATTCCTTGCCCGTGGCATTATTTTGCTTACCTGAAATGCAACTAACACTTGAGAATAGCAGCTTTCAATTTTTTCAAAATGAAGTTTCTAGCCATTAAGCTTTTAGAAAGGAGAATTAACTGGCCCAGATGATAAATTAGGTCTTGCAAAGAGAAATCACCATTCCTTTCCAATCATTATTTGGAGATGTTCAGTGCAGAACAGTTTGTTATCTAAAACCTGCAGGAAACCAATGGAATCAGTCAAGAGGAAACTCTTAATGGTGGAAAAAACAGGGCCCAATACTATGGTCTCCCAACATTGCCTGGGACTCCAAACTTCTCACAGCCAGCACAGAAGGAATTGTACTAGCTGCCCCTTCTGAGGTCAGAAATCCGCCTGAAGGAGGCTAAGGGGCATGCCAGGAGGCAGAGAGGGGAGAAGACCGGGGCACATGGTTTATGCCATATCCAAATAGCACCCCAGCCTCCTTTCCTCACCCTCCACAGTGCTCCATCTAGATGGCCAGAATCAGGGTACGAGGTATGGGGTGGCAGAGATTCCCGCTGCATGTGATGTTCCACACTGGATACATGGAAGCTTGAGTTCAGGGACACAGGGAGGGCAATGGATCATTATCATGATGGTACAGCAACCGCCAGATGTTTTGGAATGTGATCACAATAGCCCCAGACCACTGGGCCGGTAGTTGGTGTGATGAGAGTAGTAGCCCAGAGAATCTAGAGGGAATCAAGGTTGAAGGAGGCGTAACAGACATGGATACTTCCAGAGCAAAAAAAAAAAAAAAGAACACTTGCTTTTAGCAATGGTTGACCTTGGTCAACTTGTCGCCAATATGATCTTGGTGACAGCTGCTGCCATGCAAGGATTTGCACAAAAGAGAATTAGGAGAGGAGAAAAGTGAAATAAGTGGGACAAGACAAAGCACATGAGGAAATTAGAAATAAGGAGCCAAATGCAACCATTTTTGACAACCATTATAGCCCAGAACAGATTGTGCAGTGCGGCTATATACAGCCAAGCACCAAAGCTGTTACAACTCATAATGTGTGGCAGAACATTTTTTCCAAGGATGTATTTGCTATTTCATAAGTTCATTAGTAACAATGAATGGGTGCCGAATGCAAATACAATTATTAGGCAGGCTTGGCAGTTTCAAAGTTGTAATTAACGTTTTTCAGGTGATTATCCCAAGCACGTATGTGAGAGAATACGCACATGTCATTGAAATATATATGTGCCTCAGTGTAAAACAGAACTAATAGATAATGACAGCAAAACTGGAGGTGCCACAACAAATGGAAGCGAGTTGAACTCCGGTGAAGGAAATGAGTGGTTGTCAACACAGCATGCCCAGTTCTTTAGGTTGCAAAAATGTATCAGTGTGTAAATAGTTTCTAGTACAATTGTTTTTTCTTAAATGTAAACAACTTAAAGGAAGCAGATGGTATTATCTTTAAATTTTTACAAGGATTCAAATAAAAGCATCTATCTAACATTAAATCACATAAAGTGCTCTTGAATTTCTCTCCTCAAATACTAAATGTCAAATGTGTTTGGTACATTGAGACAAAAAATTAACACAACCTTTTAAAAGCTCTATTGAGTAAACATGTAAACAATAAACTTGCTAAATTTGATCACTTTCTAGGACATCATATATTTTTCCAGTGAGAATTAGGCTATGCTTTAGGAATTTTTCAAATTTAAAATTTTCCAGAAAATGCACATTACAACTGCTGTGATACACAGGAAAGTATAATATTATTATGGCAAGATATTCTATGAAGCAAAGGCCATTGTTTTCATATTACCTCTGGTACATATCCACCCATACTGCTTTCAGGGAACAAAAGGAATACTATCTCTGCAGCACTGTTCTAAAAGTTCACGATGGGTCATTTTTCAAAGCATTTGCACATTCAACAGAGAAATACAAAACCAATTCTATTCACCTGCCATATTTATTACAGCCCACCCTTTTCCCTCAAATTGGATGTGGATTTCCTCTCCAGTACCCACTTCACTTCTGAGGGTGGTGAAACCCACAGAAGGTCTTCAAAAGATTATCTCATTTCTTGGACAGTTTCATATAGGAGAAGATGGTGCCGCATCTTGTGCCGGGTCGAACCGCAATTTGCTGCAGTTACTCTACTTACATGTATCTACTCTGACATCGCATTCCCTTTCAGCATGTCTACATACATGTGGTCAAAATGCAAGCAGGGAAAGATGATGTCAAAAGCAACAGAAGACTTGGACAGCATTTGCTGAGGGGAAAAAAGAATGATCAACATTTAAATCACATAAGCTTTAGAGTTCTGCTATCCCACAAAGAGTTTATGATCTTTCGTATAAAATGATTGGTCACATTCAAGTCAAAATGTATAGTCAAATGAGGTCAATATTACTTCTGTGCAGTTAGGCTTAACCTCAGTGCTTAACAAAAGCAAATACAGGCATGAAAAAATATTCTAAATACGGGGAAGATCAAGAGAACGCTCCGAACAAATCACGACATCTACCGCTAGAGAATTATATTCAGTCAATGAAAGTGACCAAATACGTGTGGATGCTTACTGTTAAATAGTGGATTTGTCTACACTCTTCACTGGTGCGAATTACCAGAACAAAATGTTCTTTGGAGCAGACCATTTACTTCCTTACAAGACAACCTGGCCCGGTATTGTTTTAATCACTTTGCTTAAAATATCCATATTCTGCAACTGCAAAACCTCAAGGTCTGTAATTAGGGCTAAGGAACCCAGAATTAAACCTACAATTCCCAGATAGGGAGCTACAGAATTTGTAACAGGGAGACCCTTAGTCTCTGGGTGGTGGAGGAAAGAGAAGGGGGACATGCAAGGGGTGAACAGGAAAAAAGATGGTATGGTTGCGGTGCCCAGATGGAAAATGTATAATAAGATGACATGTTCCCGCACATGGATTGCCATATGTAGAACAGTACTGAGAACTGGAATCTCTTAACTGGGCATGAAACTGGCCTCTTAGCAAAGGGTCCACAGGCCTTGTGGGGAACAGAGGGATTATCTAAAGAAAGGCAACACCACCATGGCACAGCGGAGATTTTCCATGCAGAATTTCCAGGTTCAATCCCTGCTGTCTTCAAGTTAAAAGGCTTTTATATCAAAGAATTGTCTCCAACCATGGAAACTGGATGCCAGTTAAAGAGTCTCCAGTGCTAGATCAGATGAAGCAGAGCCAGTAGATTGTTCTAGCTACTGGAACACCACTGAAGATTATCAGAGAGTGGTACTACAGATACCAGTTTGTTGGGTTAAACTGACACAAAGGGCTGATGGTGCCCTATCTGGTTCTGCTGTCTACTTTAACTTATCAGCCTAACCAAACTGTTGCTCAAATACAGGCTTCACTAAAGACTACCCATTGCCTATACCTGCATGTTTCAAATCTCCAACCTCCCCAGCAGGTTATAAGGTTTAGGTCTATGCAATGCTTCTGGGCTCCGTAAGCGCCACCGAGCAATGACACTGACGATTATGTTGACACCACCAACCAACTTGTTTGGGAGGTAGAATGGACCTGAATCCAGGCAAATCCTCTCCTACAAACAAGGCAGGTAACAGAGGCGATCCTACGTTCAAGAGAAGAGGTCCTTTTGCAAAGCAATGGATTGCTGCCACTGAGAAAGAACTCTAGATGCAGATCAAGGACAGAATGGTCGCAATGCTGGCAAGGACATGAAACTTGCTTCTGAATATGAAAACTAGGATTTATGCATTACTAGAAAGGCCACAGTGTTCTAATTACACATCTAATATTAGATTGGATTTTAACTGTAATATGCTGTTTATTTCCTATGTCTTTTTACCTGATCTGTTGTTTTAATTATATGTTTTTCTATATTTTATTATTGTTAGCTGGCAGGTGCAACTAATTGCACTAGAAAGGTAAGATATAAATTAGATAATCCTGATCAAATATCAGGGCCTTCACAGGGGTTAGCCCTTGATGCACAAATATTTCCATCCAAAGTGGAAAAAACAGGCACTGTAGATGGCATGCCAGCAGCATATACCTGTAGCAATAAGTGGTAGGTATGATTTAATTTGGCCACTCTCAGGCATAGAGCACAATAATTACCCTAGACCTTAACATTTTACACCTGTCAAAACCAGGCGCTCAGTCTGGAAAAGCCACTGGACACATTCACACGTTGCACTAAGCCACCCTGTGTAGAAGCCACAGTGGGAAGGTTGTTTGCTGAATGACCCACAGTATGTCTGACAGATGGCCAAGCCCACTGGGGGTTGTTCTCCTGCTCCGTGGCCCTCAGACCTCTAGTCCTCCATGGCAGAACCTGCTTCTCTCTCCTTCCTCACACCAATTGCTCTCCTCCTCATTCACCATCATTTTTCAGAGTATCAAAAGAGTAAAATTAGGGTCAGACATCTAAAAGAACACAGTTGCAAACGATTGACAAAAGACTCTTTTTTTAACATTACAACCTCAAGGGGTTTTTTTTGTCACTCCCTCTGCATCTGATCACAGCAACCTACCAAAAAAAAGAAAAAAAAAAAGGTCTGCCAAGTTCAGATGGCCCATTGTAGGCAAGACCGACTCTACAGTAAGCCGAGTTCTTGGCATGGCTTAGTATAAAAATAAACTTCCTTGAGGAAAGCACTTACGGTTTGGGTTGATACAACAACCACCCACCAGGTCTGGCTGCCCATAACTGACTGATACGCTGGGCTCTTCTAATTGCGAAGCTCAACATTGTAATAGCAATTCAGGTTCTCAACAGCCCTTGAGCAGTCAGTCAAGATCCCATTCTTCCATTTATTTCAGCCTGAGGTGGCAGGGATTCCTCCAGCACTTAAATGAAAAGTAATGAAATCAGTTCATCCTCTGAGACATGGCTCATTCGCTTTACACCATTCAATACAGCATGCGAAAGAAAAGGTGAAGTGGATGTTATTTCAAACCTATCTCATGTTGAAAAGGAGGATAAAAATATAAGATGAATATCCTCAAGTTGGACAGAAGGGATTAAAAAACATGCACAAGTCACTTTGGGGAACAAATGGAATGTAAAGCGTGATCAGCTGAGCTCCAAGAATAAACTGCAGGTCTCTGTCAAAGGCAAACTTTCTTTTTGCATCAGGATTTTAGAGGGCTGCCTTCTGTTTCACTCAACTCAGTGAAACACACAAATACTTCCATTTTCTAGAAGTAGTTAATTGGGGCTACTTTCCAGATATGGAATTTTGGCATTTTCCTCTGGCTCAATAAAATATTTCTCACACCATAATTTTAACAAAATAGCATATCTACATTGATCTCTGAAGTTCCCAAACAGGGCCTCAAGAAGCTGTGCCACAAACTGCTGCAACCAAAAAGGCAGATCATACCTTTACCATCACTAGAACGTGTTATGCTCAGGCTAGGTCTGGGAGTTCCTAGTCCACAGCTGTCATGGAATCAGAAGTGGGGGCCCAACTCAAGCATGAATTGGATTCTTATTTACTTACAGTATCTCTATCCCATCTTTCCACTGAATAGTGCTCAAGACTGAGAACAGTGAAATTCCAGGGAAAACACAAAATCATCCTTAAAAGCCAAAAAGGTAAGTTAAAAGCACAGTTAAAAACACGTCGACACATTAAGAAAGGAACAGAACCCAATTTGCTGTGTCAGCAAATACATCCACTAAAAAATCCAAGGCCTGTCTGAATAGAAACATCTTTGCCAGCCTGGAAGGATCTCAAAGATGAAGCTAGTCTGGCAACCCTTGGAAAAGGAAGTTCAGAGCTTGGGAGCAGTCACTCAGAAGGGCCTATCTTGCATTCCCACCAACGGGGCCTGGGATGGCGGCAGTACACACAGCTGGTGCCCAGCAGCAGCCTGCAAAATTGTTGCATGTATGGAGTTGAACATTCCCTGTAAGTCGTCCTTGCAAGGCAGAGTGAAGATGAAATGTTCAGTGTGAGGACCCAATCCAGTTTTGGAGAAACTCTCAAGGGGCACATTCCAGGGGTCAGTGGGGGCTATGGAAAAAGGAAATGGGGCCAAAAATACAAGAAACAATCTTAAGAGTTTGTTGTTAGTAATTTAAGCCTTGAGAGAAGGATCTCATCATTTTAGAAAGTTGGGGGGGCACAAAAGATCAGAAAAGAATTGAACAACTGGTGGACATGACATTGGGAGAATCTCAGGAGAGGCAGATTTGGCCTCCTGGCCTGAGGTGCCCCGCGGCTGCTGTAATTATCACAATGTCCTTGTATGTTTGACTGAAACACTCTGTCCCAGCTGAAGTTTCCAAGAAGAAAAAGGATGCAAGGGAGGCATCCATCATCGTGACCAAACCAGAATCTCCAAGAACTACCTGCACATCAGCCATATCGACATGAGAAGATACCATTCTGTTGTTCAGGCAAAGATAATTTCTACCAGGGCTAGCCAATCGAAAAGCTGCATATTGCCTATACCATGATGGTAATACAAACTCCATGTACAGAAGATAGTGTACCATTAAACAACAGTTGCCATATGGGGAAAGGTATGGCCTTTCCAAGTTAGCTGATAGGCTTCCTAGATGCACCTGGCTAGTGCAATCCTGCATCCTTATTTGCTTGAAGGGGGGCTCAGAGTACCAAAGTACAACACATTAGATGCAAATCTCAATGGGAAAGGTCATGATACCCAGGAATCTGTGCCACAGCCCATCTCTTTCCCAACAGCCACTTTACAAAAGCGCCGCTTGTGTTGCATCTCACCTGTGAACGAAATCCAGAGAAACAGTGCCTGAATGCAGAATGCCTTATAGAGAAAATTCCAGGCTCCGTGCATGTGCATTAGTTCTTGTTCTCTGAGTAGCGGGGGGAAACATACCAGGGTTACATTTGTGGTGTGAAATCCTCTGAAATTATGTTCATAAAATGGAGTCCGGCCAACATTCAGAATGAGAGCCTATCCACTCTCAAATGCTGCCTTGTTGAGCAAAAAACAGGTTTTATCAAAATGATCGGCAGCAACACCATGAAGATTCCTGGCCTCATTCCCCAGGCTGGCAGGAAAAATCCTGAAAGGGAAATTCACCCAAAAGGGAACCAGCAATCAGTTCTGCAACTAGCAGCCTTGCTGCCAAGTTTAAGAACCATGAAGGATTTCAAAAAATGTATGTTCCACTTATCTGTCCTCTGAAAGCAAGGGCCCCACCAGGCTGCACAGTGGCCCTCTGGCAGGTTACATGTTCATTTCCTCATGCCCAGATGACTGAGACCCTGGAGGGAAGGGAAAGAAGGACCATGGGGCTGAAGCCAATCACAGCGACACTCCTGAAGCCTCTCAATCACCACGCCATATACCTCCCTTCCTCTACTTATATGAAGATGCGGGCAGTATTTCAAGACAGCGGAAGGACAGAGAGGTAAACAAGATGATGCTCAGGGGAAAGAACATGAAAACAGCATGAGAAGTACATGAAGATACAGATTTTGGTCATGTTGCAAAGACCAGAGGTAGAGCACATGCTTCATCTGCAGAAGGCCCTGGGTTTAATCTGGGGACCTCAAGTTAGACTGGGGAAGGCACCTGTTTGAAGCCCCAAAGAACCAATGCCAGTGTGAGCCAGATGAGCCACTTCTGTTGTTGCTGTTATAGACATTTATAAGGCACCCAAAGAATTTTAAGCCCTGTATAGATATTAAGAAAAATGATGGACAATATGTGTTCACAATCTAAGAGCCATGATAAAAGACAAGTAAAGAAATGGAAAGCAAGAATTAAAGGGCTCCTCTGGCATTCATCAATCTTCTAGATTCCTAAACAAGCTCCCAGGCCAAAACTGGGAGCTGGCTTCATGGGAAGGCTCCAAGAATAGGGCATTCCTCCTAAGCAAAGCTCCCCCTTCTTCAGTCCTGCTTCAGGTCCAAGCTGGGGAAGAGAGGAGGGCCCTGGGCCTGGCAGGGATATTCCCTTCTTGGTGCATCCCCTAGCCCAGGCCTCCCCTCTCCTACCCAGGAGTAAGCCTGTCAGACATGAAGCAGGGTGGGAGGACAAATCGGTTTTGCAATGATTAAATAGGCAGGACTGCCCCAAAGGGGGTAGGACCCCCAGCTGACGGCCCTGCCCCACCTGTGCCTGAGGAGCTGGCTCTCACGCAGGAGCAGAGGAAGTGGCTGGGTCATGATGCCCCATTCAGCACTGCTGCCAGTGGACTGTCTCCCACTTGTACTTTGTGATTCGATCACAAACCCACCTCCTGCTCCAGGAGAGGCAGGGGCACCTGACCAGCTCCCCCTGTTCTCTGTGCCCTTCAGGGCATAAGCCCTGTTCACACAGCAGAGGTTTTTGTTTTTTGTGGGGGGGCAACTACAGCAAGGCAAAACCGGCTTGCAGCAACAGCTGCCAAAGAGACAAAGCAGGAGGCGGGGAGGCAGCAAGGCAACCATGATGAGCCCAGTCGTCACAGTTCCTTGCCCCTTAACAGCAACCCATTTACCGCAAGGGGCTGCTACCCTGAGCCCACCCGCCCAGTATTAATTTGTACATCTGTTTCATATAGGCATTTGCACAGTAATTGATATATGGAATTCGCTGCCACAAGCTCTGGGGTGACTGCTATCTTTGTTGTGGTTAGTCGCAAAGTCATGCCCGACCCATCAAGACCCCATGGACAACATTCCCCCAGGCACTCCTGGCCTGACTGCTACCTTAAATAACCTCTAAAGGGAATTAGATCAATTCTCAGAAAACTGGTCTATCTCTAGCCCATTCAGCCAGAGGCAGAAAATTTCTACCCGCCAGTTGCTGGGATCCCAGGCTGCAGGGCGCTGGCCCGCTTGCGTCCAGCTGATGGCTTCCATGAGGCGTCTAGCTGGCCACTGAGGGAAGCGGGGTGTTGGCTCAGGCAGGATTCAGTCGGATATATCCGGACTCTTCTTATGTTCAGTCCTGCCAGCTAAGGGGGCTTTCCTCTTCAGGGGCACCGTCTCGGAAGGGGCACGACTCCCTTCTGCAGGTGAGGACAGGCGGCTGAGGATGCAAGGCCTGCTGAAGACCACTGGAGGGACAAGCCTCCCCTCCTGCTGGTGAAGACAGTGCTGGACTGTGCGGCTGAGGAAAAAGCCCAAACGGTTCAAGTAGTTCACAGAAATATCAGGCTTCTCCGCCCCTCCAAGTGAGTCCTCATGGTTACAAATGCAGCTCCTGATCACCTGAGGATGTTTGTCCACTTCTGGGGGACTCTTACTTCAAGGAGCCCAAGAAGCAAGGAAGCACCCAAGCCCTGCTTGTGCAGGTGCATGCAGTGGAAGCAGCACACACAATTGGAAATCACACACCCAGTCACTTCGGGTTTCTTGCTACTGTGTTACACGGTGTCCATGGAAACTGCATGAACCATCCCCACCCTACTCCCCTTACTTATATTAGAACTCATAGCAACCACTCCAAACAGAACATCAGAGGAAAGAATTATTCAAATGCAGCTTATGTGGAGACATGCCATTTCTCTCCATCTTCAAGGGGTAAGTAATCCAAAATACTTAGATCGTGGACTAATGGTTTGGCGGTGGTAAGTGGAACCTGCAACAAAATGTTGCACATGAAGAGTCCAGCCCGTTATGCCCTTTTCTAGGTACTCCATTCCATTCC